CTAGCTATCTTATCTCTTTTAGATACTATAAGACTGCTAGCACTTCATTATAGTATAATAAGTCTTAGGGTCTATAAGTATAGAGGATAGGTATATAATAGATATCTTATCTTAATATATCTTCTATAATAATCTTATTCCTATAGGGTGTCCTACTATTTAGAAGAGTACTCTACCTAACCCTCTATTAGAAGTATTTATACTTAGATAATATTATAACTTAGGATTCCCATAGTTAGCTCTCCCTAGGATGTATACTTTTATAAATAGAAGTAAATAGATAAATCTTATTAACTCTTCCTTATTTATAGGTTCTAGCTAAGTCTATAGTGCTTTAAGTTTACTTATAAAAGGCCTTAGTCTATTCTAGGTGCATTAATAGCTAAGGATCTTAATTTTATTAGTAAAGAAGGCACTCTTAACTAGATGAAGGATTAATCCTACCCATGCTAGTCAGGGAAAATAGTATTAATATAGAAAGGAGATTATGTCTTTAATATTCTACGCTACTCTAGTATCATCATCTATAAAGTATTTAAAACCTATATTTAGTAATAATACAAGTACTACTTTAGGTAAGGGCCCTAGAATTACTCTTATTACTAGATCTTTTAATTTAGAATAAGTTCTTAGAGCCCCTATAAGGCCTTATCCTATGTACAGATAACAGAACTAGCCTAAAATAGAGTTAAAGCTAGTCTTAAATAAATATTCTATAGCTAACAGCACTGCCTAATATCTATTAGTAGTATTAATCTTAAAGAATACCTTCTATTATTTTCTTACTAGATTTATAATGACTAGCTTAAGTCTCTATAGTGAATAATTTATCCTAATAATAGCTATATTTATTAGCATAAAGTTATACACTATTTATAGCTTGCCTAAGGTTTTTCTAGGAAATTTAGTATAAGTACTCCAGGGAGATATATACTTAATAATAATATCTATATTAACTATCTTTAGTAAATTCTTAACTTACTACTATTTTTCTTTCTTAGTATAAAGTAGGAGTTTTACAGCTTATAAGATAGCCTAAGGATAAGTAGAAATTTAATATTTAATAAGTCTTATTACTAGTATATTAGTAACTTTCTTAATAAAGAGATCCTTCTAGGTATAAAGTAAATCTACTATCACTAGCTAATTACTCTCTATAACTAGTAATCCTAGTAGATAGGTATTCTCTCTTATCTAGACCTAGGTAGCATTATGATCTGTTGCTATAGTCTATCTAAACTCTTAGGGTCTTAATACTATTAGGAACCTAAGATATCCTATATTTTCTATTTCATCTTTAATATTTTAGAGGGGAAGGATAATTAGGATTACTATTATATTTAATACTCTAGTAGTATTTTATAGATTATTTTTATAGGCTGTTTCTGTTTTTATATAGTTAGGGATTAATTCTAAAATATATTATTTTCCTATTAATCTTTAATAATTATTCCTATCTGGATGCCCTCTTTACATAGTCTATTATTAACTAGTAGTTACTATAGAGGGTGGTATAGGTACTACTACTAGTTTCTCTAGTTATAATCTAAGGAGTCTATCTTATAATAGTCCTTTTCTATTACTTCCTGTATAACCTAGAACAGCTTATTCTCACCCTCTATATCTATACTCATATTGTTATGGTTAGGTTAACCTAAAGGAGGGGTTAGAATATATATATATAGTGAGGGAATACTGGAATAGGTTATTAGGTCTTAAGTTTTACTTATCTAACTACCTAGCTCTAGACACTAGCCCCTTTTATTTCCTTAATAATAGTAATTTACTAAGTCTAAGTAACTTCCTTCATTCTGTCTACTCCCTTAATTATATAGGTTCTATATTTATAGTTTCCTAATATCCTAACTAAGGATATCTAGTAATAACCTAGCAGGATAGAATATCCTAGATTACTATTAATAATTATTACTATAATAATACAGCTAACACCTTTAATAGATAATTAAAGCTAGATAATAGTATTTAATTAGAAGTCATAATCTATCACTATCTTATATCTAATATCTACAGGGATAATCCTTGCCTTAAGAGTATTAATAATATATCTAGTAACTAGGTTTCCTTTAGATCCTCTATTAACTAATACTACTTTGCATCTCACTGCCTATAGTTTATTATTAATTATTATAACTTAAATATTTATAGTGGTATAGAAGAGCTCTATAAAGATTAGGTCCTATAGTTAGAAATAATTATTATATATATTATTCTCCTGGCATGAGTATTTAAGATAATAGACTTATACTCTTTTTAGGGCCTTTTAGTTCTTTTTAGTAGGATTTAGTCTTATAAGTTTTATGAATTCTATACAGGCTATAGATACTATATTAAAGAGCTCTATAAGACTAATCTCTATATATATACTATTTATTATGCTTTTTAAGTTAAGCAGATTCTTATTAAGATTTTTTAAATATCTTTTCTCTCTTAGCTTTTAAATCTTTCTAGTATTTAATATTTCTAGTTAACTATTACTAGTTATATTAACCCTTACCTATTTACTATGGATGTTCTTATTTTCTATAGTATAAATATGTTATAGCTTTATTAGTATATTAATTAACTATAGAATATAAATATCTATTAGAGCTAGTGAACTAAGAAGCACTATATTAACCCTATTAATAATATTTTATTTAGTAACTTTATCATCCTTACTATCTATAAATTAGATATAGGTAGTATTACTTAACTTAACTCCTATAATAGCTACTAAAGTTATGCTAGTAGTTAGGTCTAGATATTATTATAATTCTAAACTAAAGGCCCCCCCTTAGGGTTAAATTAATTAAGTTATCTCTAGAGCACTGCATGCTATCTATAGTGGTTTATAATAACTCTATATCTAATTCTAACCTTATACTTACCCTATGGTTTCCTACCTAATCTATTATTATTCCTCTATAGGCAGGGGAGGGTTTATATAGATTATTATAATATATCCTACCTAACTATATTTAAAATAAACTCTCTGCCCTGTACTCTGCTATTATTATTATTATTATTAACTTATAAATAGTTACTATAATTAACTCTAGGATAGATTAATCTTTAAGAGTTGCTTAGTAAGTATCTTTATTAATTAACTCTAATTATTAAGAGTATCTATAAATATTTTATCCCTAGACTAGGATACTATAACTTCTTTAATAATATATACTTTATCCTCATAAGCTCTAGCTATATAGATTAACTCCTTAATCTTAACTATCTTTAATATTACTTTCTAGGCTTATATATAGGCACTAAGGACCTTTTATATTATTAGATTAGATAACCCCTATATAAATATTAATCCCATAGACTAGCTCTAATTATCTAGGATAGATATAGTAAGTTCCTATACTTTATTAATATATCCTTATAGGCTTTTAGTTCTTTATTATAACTCTAAAAGCTTTATTATAATGTCTTATATCTAGTTACTAAGCTCCTATTTAGGGAATCTTATATATAGATACTATACTAATTTCTCCTAATCCTTTTATTCTACTTTAGGTAATATCTATCTAAATCTAAGAGCTATATCTCTTAGTCTAATAAAAAGGGTAGTTACTATTACCTACTTCTTCTCCTCTAGATCTAAATTTATACTAGTCCACATGAATCTGTACTAATTAATATAGAGATTAATATCTTCTCTAGGCTTACCTAAGAAGGTAGGCTAGTTTAATATAATAATATAAGAATAGTTCTCTACTAATAGTATAGGGTAATCTTTAGGTATAGATAGTAGATGATTCTCTAGTAATAATAACTATAACTAAAGATTCTCTAATTCCCTAAGAATAAAAACTTATAATAATACTAGAAGAGCAGCAGCAGTGGTCTATAACTAATTAAGTATATTATTACTAGATATATCTTCCTCTGCCTAGTTAGGTTAATAAAAGTAGTGGGTCTACTCTAGTACTAATCTTAATATAGAAGGTGGGTTTTATGCTAATGCCTAAGGTTTACTAATATTACTTCTAGGGGCTAACTAGGCAGGTTACTACCCTAAGTAGATAGATAATAATAGGTCTGTTTTAATATATTACTAGTATGTTAGATAGCTTTAACTTAGTGATTAAGATGAATCTAATAATCTGCTTAGTAGAAATTAATAATAAGAACTAGACTAATTTAAAAATACTAAGATAACTCTCTATAAATCTTACCCCTAGTTACTCTAAGGATCTGCAGCTACTCAAATACTTAATATAGGAATAGAAATATAATAAAGATAAGAAAAGAGATACAGGATCTTACTATACCCAGCACTAGTCACTAAAATACCACTTTGCTAACTAGATTTAATGGAACTGTTTGTATTCTTAATTTATTAATATGGATGATTATTATTAGGATACATGAGCTAGGAGGCAACAGTAAAGAAAGAGGGCCTTAGTAATTAATAAGCAATGTTTATAATGTTGGCATTCTCTTCTGTGACAGTACTTACCTACCTAAGTGCATGACTGATTGCTTACCTGATGATCATGGTGACGATGATGATGCCTGAACCAACTGGCCACTTCTTTTCATGTGTGCCTCTCGCAGCCAAATAAAAAAAGCCCATATAAATATTGACAATTTCCGAAAACAATATCCCTATCCATGTACTGATTGTATGTCTTGCATTACAAACAATAGAGCCCTAACTGTGGCCGCATGGAGCAGAGCGGAGCACAAAGAGACATGGACATCGAGGAAGATTCTCCTGTCGGGATTTTCTCCGAAGAGGCGGCTTGAGATCATCTTCAAGTAAGTCCAATTTGCCGCTATGGTTGGGTTACAAGCCCACTCGAATCGCGTAGCTTCGCACAGTCTACTTCATTCGCCTCTTCAAGTGGACTTGTACGTCTTGTCTCAAACCAAATTCACCCTATCGATATGTTATAAACTCTCCGCCCTTCCTGCCTCGCCGAAGCGGATTCTCCTAATTTCTGCTATGGTCTCCAGCACTTGTCTTCTAGGCTGCGTGCGTCATTGTCCGCATGGATTCATTATCGCGGGATCTCGAAAAGGCTGAATTGGAGGCATACCGTGCATCAAGCCGCCGTCAGAGCCTCAATAATGGCGGCCGTGCCTCTCGGTCTGACTCCCTCTCACCCTCAGTCACGTCTTCCAGCTCGTCAACACAAGCGCAAGAGGGCGACTACTACTTGTCGCAGATTCAGACTGCCCAGACGCTACGAGGTGCTGGTCTAGAACGACATCCAACAGCACTGAGTCGCATTGCGACTCAGAGAAGCCAGCATAGCGCCACTGTGGGTGCTCTTAAGCCAGTGGTGTCAAAGAGGCCTCTGGCAGAATTTGGCGCAGGAAAGCCCTATCCCCCGCCGCTTCCAGAGAGAGAGGAATATGTCGTCGAGTTTGCTGATGCGGATGATCCTCTGCATCCTCAGAACTGGCCTATCAAGAAGAAGTAAGACACTCTGAGGTGAGCGACTAATGGCAACTCACCTCTGCGTATAGGATTGCAGTTTCCGCCATGCTGGCATACACGACTTTCAATGCGACTTTCACAAGCAGCATCTACTCTACCGCCAATTCGGTTGTGTCATCGAAGTTTCATGTCTCTACCGAAGTAGGTACTCTGGGCCTCTCACTGTATGTCTTGGGGTTTGCGTGTGGTCCAACATTTTTCTCGCCGTTGTCTGAGCTACAAGGCCGGCGTCTACCCATTCTGATTGGCATGTTCGGCTTTACCGTCTTCCAGTTTGCAGTGGCTACCGCGGAAAACCTCCAAACGATAATAATATGTCGTTTTTTCGGTGGCTTTTTTGGATCGTGTCCCATTGCTGTTGTTGCCGCGGTGTTCTCTGACATCTATGACAACCGCCATCGAGGCCTCGCGATCACGGTTTTTACCATGACAGTCTTTACCGGCCCGCTCTTTGCTCCTTTCATCGGTGGCTTCATCGTTGAAAGTTACCTAGGCTGGCGTTGGACGGAATACCTCACTGGAATCATGGGCGCCTCGGCTTTTGTTCTAGATTTGTTCTTTCTGGAGGAGACATATCCTCCAGTTGTGCTAATTAAGAAAGCTGCTGAGCTACGTCGGCGAACGAGAAATTGGGGCATTCACGCGAAGCAAGAGGAGATCGAGGTTGAATTTGGAGAGCTGATCCGCAAGAATTTCAGTCGTCCACTACGGATCTTGTTCACTGAACCGATCGTGCTCCTGCTAAGCATCTACATGGCATTCCTCTATGGCTTGCTATATCTATTCTTGACCGCATACCCAATTGTCTTTCAGGGCATCCACGGTTTCAATAAAGGCGTTGGGGGGCTTCCTTATTTTGGGATAATCATCGGCGAATTTCTGGGCGGGATATTTATTATTATGCTCCAGCCGTGGTATAACAGACAACTGAGTGCCTATAAGGACATACCCATCCCCGAATGGCGTCTACCCCCGGCCATTATAGGTGGGGTTGCCTTTTCCGGCGGTCTTTTCTGGTTCGGTTGGTCAGGGTACAGATCTGATATACATTGGATCGTGCCGACTCTGTCAGGTCTCCTAACCGGCTTCGGACTTTTTTGCATTTTTCTGCAATGTCTCAACTATATTGTCGATGCCTATCTCGTCTTGTACGTCGCTCCCTCCAATATCTCTCCCTCAGAAGCTATGCTGATGTCTTGTCACGTAGTGCTGCTTCAGCCTTGGCTGCAAATAGTGTTTTGCGTTCTATAGCTGGTGCAGGATTCCCACTTTTTTCAACCTATATGGTACGTTCGACCCTCCTTACTACTTCCGCCTTTTGACGCCTCGTTCGTTCACTAACACGCGCACAGTTTAATGCTCTAGGCGTCAACTGGACTGGAACTCTTCTTGGATGCGTCGCTGCCATCATGATGCCCATTCCGCTCCTCTTCTACTTGTACGGACCCAGGATCCGTGAGAAGAGCAAGTTCGCAATGGAATATATTGTAGCCGTTCAGGCTCACAACGATGAGCATGCAGAATGACAACTTTTATCTACCTCAGTACGGATACAGTGGGCAGCTCATTCAGGAGATGAGAAGAATCACGGATGCTGTATGCGAGCTTGATGAACTTGGAACCTCCGTGATGGGCCATCTTGAACAGTTTGCACATACCTTAATGCTTGTTGAGCATCTCGGTTCCTATCGTATCACTGGGCAGGACCGCGTTCAAAGAGTTTCGTTATTTGACTTGCGATACCCCTAGGGCGTGGATTTACGTTGGTCTTTGGCGTGACGGCAGATGGTTTGTACAAGGTCATTAGTCTCAATGACAATAAGACGACGTGTGTACATGTTCGAATCCAGAAGGAAGCTTTCCAGCACCCGCATCTCGTATGAGATTGCTCTTCAAAGAGATATCGGCGTTTACTTCATATGGAGACATTGAATGTGCAGATACTACTGGAATACTGTCGCTTCATTCCATGGTCTTTTATCACATTATGTACCTTTTTTCCCTCCTCTAGTAAAATACCGTCAACCCAGCTTTAACCAGATGACATGTGGTCGTATCCTTGATTTTGACGCCAACCTCGCCTGCCTGGTGCGTGTTGCTATTTCAAGGCAAATACCAGCAGTGGGAGGTGTGGAAAGACGCAAACCCCGGGATAGACCCAGGCAACCATCAGACAGGACCGCCATTTTGTGACGCAGAATGGAAGGTGGGCGTAAAACAGAAAAAGGAAAATCATGACAAAGACGAGGAAGAAAAATTGATGGTGCCCATACAAGACTAGACGAGGAAAATGACATCGGGCGGAAAATGTACACCAAACCCACTAATACATAATGAAGCCCTGTTCAGAAAAAAAAAAAAAAGAAATTTTTTCGTATACAAAGTTAAAACGGCCTGACATTCCGGAAAGCAGAAGGTTAGTGACGGATGGGGATCTCGGGTTCGAAAAGATAATAAAAACCATGTCAGGGTTCTATTCACGTCGTTTCGTAATGCTCGAAACAGTCGTCAAAGATCAAGGAACAAGAAAGTAGTACACGAGAGACAGAGAGGAGGAGAGCGTGGAAAGGTGTACGGAGTGACGTCATGTCGACCCTAGGGAATGATGCATCTCTAATTGACACAATGTGTTTCGTAAATCAAGTGATTATCATCAGTAGGCTGATCAAAGATCCGGCTGAATGGCGGATCAGAAGACTGCGTTTTGTCGTCGGGGGTCGTTATCACGCCCTCCTCCTTGCGAATAACTTCTTTCAGGGCTCGGGTTACCACACCGGCTCGTATGACGAGATCACGAAGAGACTGCGTATCAAACGGGAGTTTTTTGGAGCGCGAACAATGAGGACCGCGGAGAGCGGGGTCATGTGAAACGCGTTGTTGATAGATCAGATCCAGAACCGACTTCGCTTTGGCAGACGTGTCATAGGAGACGCTGAGATTTGGAGGTAACTTCTCGGAAAGCTCAGCTCGCCAGGAATCCCCGCTTGTCCGCTTCGACGGATCTGCTAGGTTGGACGACTCGCCTTCAGAGTCATCAAAACTGAAAGTAAGGGAGGTCGGTGATCTCGGAGGGGAATCATTGTTTTCCTCATCGTCAAGCGTGGCTAAATTGACGATACCCTCAGCCTCCTGCCAGAGTTCACTCGATGGACCTCGAACTATATTCAGAAAGCTGGCCCGGTGACGAAGACGTTTAAGCTCCTCAACCAGTAAGGTCAATTCCTGGACCTGCCCGAATTGTCCGTGAAGGCTCGCTTGACGTTCCAAAATGGCTGCAGGAACTATCATGCCCCGTCGAGAACTCGTTCTACTTGGCCGCATGTTCTCGCTGTCCACTTCTGCATCGTCGAACTCGAAGTCGCTGTCCCAATCCTCGCTAACGCCTTTACTACCCAAACCCCAAGTTCCAAATTTTCCAGATGTCTGACGAGATTCGCTAGCGATTGTAGGTTCTCTCGCCACAGGAACACTTTGGCTGCGAAGATGCAATGAGTTCGGAGCCCTCCGCCCTGGAGCACGACTGCCACGGAACTCAGGGCCATTTTTCCCGTGGACAGTTCGGGGTCTTTCGTCCATTCCCGAGGCGTCGCGGTCGTTTCGAGACTGTTCCGACCAGTCAAATATGTTCATTTTTCGGCATGACCCAAGCGACTCTTGAGAAACGCTGCGCAATTTGTGCAGTGCAAACCCATCGTCTGAAGCATGGGATGAATTTGAGTGGACGTGAGCACGGATATCATTGCCTTCGGCGTAGAAATTGGAATCTACCAGAGGACGACGGGAGAAGATGAACGGTGAATTCGTCTCGCCAGGCAAGGAGGCAACCGTGCTGCGAGCATCTTCATCTTCGGATAGGTCCGAAGGAAAGGATACTCTGCTGTCTTCGCTGTCGTCTAGCTCTGCTATCTCACGGGCTCTAGGCGTTGCACCAGAAACTGCATCGCTGTCAATTCCCAAGTCGCATATAGCCGGAGCCAGTCCATCCGGCATTCTTGGACCGCGAGGCTCGAGCGCTTCGATTCTAATCTCGTGGTCCGCAAGACTCTCTACTGGATCCTTGTCAAACATGGTTTCAATCCGCGAGCCCCCAGAACCGGAGTTGCTACCAATTGTGAAGTGAGTGCGGATTGAGTCAAATGCTGTATCAGTCAAGAAATCTGATTCGTCTTCATCACCAGACGTAAAAATACGGGTATCATCGGACCCGATCGCGGATGAAGCTGGATCTGAGGCCGCGATTGAATGGCGCTTGGGACGTTGGCGGACGGACCACAGGAAAGTCAAGTCAGAGGTGCGAAAGAATGCATTCTGGTATGCAGATAGCGCTACCGCGTCCGATGTCAAGGGGCGGTTCCCGTAATCCCGACAGAGACCCAGCTCCGCTCTGTACTCTCGAAGATATGAAGGCGTAATAGAACGCCGCGATCTCATGATCTTTGCTGTCAGGAAGTTAGGATATCCTGTCTTGAATGCGTCAGGAGGCCGACGGAAGATGTTCGGGTCGGTGATGTTACGCTTCCCATTTAATCGTCTCGACTCCGAGGTGGCGGCTTTCGAATTCGGTAACTCTGGGAAGGGTGTCGATACTGCTCTCCTTTTCGGCCAGACCGGAGGTTCACTACTGGACTGCTTGGCAGCTGCTATGCTTGAGCCTTTTTCAGGTGACTTCGGGTCCGCTTCGTCGAGTACAATAGAAGAAGGCCCGCTGTTGCTTTCCACTAGGGAAGGCGCGTCTCGGGCACGCGGTGGATCATCAAAAAGTTTGAAGGGGTCTCGAAACTGGACTGGAGAGGCAGGAGCGAACTCATTAGAAGTGATGTTTATTGCAGGTTCTTTCATCGTGATGGAGGTCGCCAGAAGAAGCGCTGGGAGGGCATCCGGGCTCGGTAGGATCCGCCGCAGTGCTTGTTCCTTCGGTCTTGTCGCAGTGGACAGTCTTCGGGCGAGTCTCTCGGTCAGCCCCTCCAAACTGGCTCTTAGATATGGTTGCCATGCGCCCCCCTCAATATCAATGGAGGAGCCTGCCTCGACAGAATGCGACGCGGGATCTATGATAGAACCAGGTTCAAAGTTTAAGCTGTGAGTTGCTCTATGCCGTAATACTTCGGACCGTTGATAGCTCGTCGCAGGTCTCCGCAATTGCGAAGGTGCCCAGGGCGATGATGGCGCATGCGCAGATGAAGGTAGACCATTAGAATGCTGCGAGGGGGGTCGCTTCACAAGCTTGTTTGGTACTCTGCGCTGACTGGACAGCCGTGATAAGCCTGGGCTTGTGGGGTCGTTGGACGATGGAGACAATGGACCATTATTTGAGAGGCGGCTCTCCTGCGGCTGGATTGACAGACGTCGCAACCAAGAAGAGGACGGTCGTCGGAAATGCGAGGGCGTATCGCTGTCCTCTTTGAGATGCGAAGGTGGACTGGTCATTGTATGACCTCGGCGCCGACGTATTACACCCGCAAATGAAGACTTTCTCCGAGACTGTGAGTCCCCGGAATTAACCTCGGGTGAAGCGACATCGCTGTGAGGCTGGGAAGGGTCTGTGATATGTTGTGCTTTTACATCGCAGACTGTAGAGGGAAAAGAAGGGGAATCTGGAGAAGTGGTACCGAAAGCCGGCGATACGGTATTGTTTGCTGCAGGCGCACGATGGTCACGCAGGAGGGTCTTTCTTCGAAATCTCCCTTGTTTGGAGGAAGGTCGATCTATGCGACCGAGAGCGAAACCGGTCGCTGCAATACCGACAGTGCTGACCGCACAGAGCTGACAGAAAGCGAGACGAGTTAGTGTCAGGCCAGTCAAGCAGTGGTCGATCGCAAACACCAATGGAGACAAAACAAGAAACTTTGCTGCTCGGAGTTCAGGCGCAGAGCTTCCTACTGGTGCTCAAGGGTGGTTTGATTCCTTCTCTTTGTAGAGAGAATGGAATTTATGGCAGGAAAATGGCAATATCGCAGATGATGAGGGAAGCGGCGGACTTACAGTAGAAACATGCTCCATCCTCAGAGGGTGCTGAGAACAGTGTCAGACACCACAGAACTCAGTCCAGCCACATGGGACATTCCTGTCTGCATAATCATGCACAAGGAGTTATTTGTAGAGAGATAGGGCTGAATAGGAGCATATAGAGAAGAATGCGACAGTTGAATGAAGCAAACCAGTGGCAGTTGTGAAAGAGGGAAGTGAGAGGTGGAAAGCTGTATGAAGATACACCCGCCGTCTAGCGCAATAACAACAATAATAATAAGAAGCGGAGATTGTCTGGGGGGGTAGGGAGGGGCCGCTGCAGCTGAGGTGAAATGTCAATGTAGGTACGGGAGTACACTGCAAGGAAGTGAAAGAATGGGGGAGGGGGAGGATTGTAAAGAATGCAAGAATAAGACAATTGTAGTAGTAACTAAAAATAATAAGGAGAGAAAGATGATCATAAAAGAATCGGATTCTGGCTTTGCTGCTCTTTTTGTTGCAGAAAGTCGTCGTGGAGAGGATAACAATTCTAATAATTATTGGAGAGGAGCTCAGCTCC